CAGTTCTCTCAGCCCCCCATCCCCTCTCAGTCCCCCGCCCCATGTCCCCTATCCTCAGTCCCCTCAGCTCCCCATGTCCCCCACCTTCTCAGTCTCCCCCCCACCCGGGACTCCCAGCCCCTCTCAGCACCTCCTAGGTCCCCTTCCCCCAACAAGCTCCTGGGCCTCCTGAGCCTGGGGTTTCCCCTGTCCACTGAGGGACGTGGCCACCTGTCCTGGGAGCTGTGAGAGGCCTGGTGAGAGCAAGACCCCTGAGGCAGATTCATGCACCCCCTCTTGGGTTCCCCCCACTTCTGTGACCTCAGTACACTCCTGCGGATCTGACATCAGCTTCACGGTCCCTCTGATGGAAGTCTCTGAGGAGGAGCTGGGCCTGGCTAGTTCCCTGGGGACATGCCCTGCCACCCCACCCCCCCCGACAATAGGGATGCAGTGAGAGGGGAAGAAAGTACCCTGTGCACCTCTCCTGCTGGGGGCGGGTGAGGCCGCCCACAAAGGGTGACCGCCAGGTCCTTTGAGGCCACGAACGACTGTCTGCCTGCTGCCACTGCCTGGCGGTAACGCACCCTCCCGCTGGGACCATGGCCACCAGTAAACAGAGCCGCCGTTGTGGACGCCTCCTTCCAACAGCTGCAGGCTGGGGTGGGAGGGCCAGGTGCCCAGCACTCCCACGGCCCCTGCCTGGGCTTTCCTGTGCGTCTGGCCTCCCCTGCTCTGCATCCTGCCAGCCACAGACACCCACTGGGCCCAGGCAGGAACACCCTTGGCTGAGGGTGGGGACCCACAGGGCCTCCTCCCACCAGCCCAGCGCAGGCCCGAGGGAGGCTCCTACTGTCTTGTTCTCAGCTAGTGTCCACCTCAAAGGGGTAATGGGAGGGGTTACGGTGGAATACCTGTTGCCAGAGAGAGAGCTCGGGGGCTCACACCTGGGCAAACGACACCACCTCTATTTTGTTACCTGTAAAGTTGAGGTGCCACACTGAACTCCCAACCCTGTGGGCACTCACAGGAAGCAGGGGCCTTTTCCAGTGGGGGTCTCAGGCCACATGGCTGGAGGTGGGGGCGTGAAGGGGGACTTTGACAAACCTCCAAGAACCCCAGCAGAGCTTTGCACCGCTCACTGGCTCACTGGGGAAAAATCAGAGCTGCTTTCTCCCTAACTTGTGGGTTTGTGACAACTCAATGCTAGGAGGCGGCAACAGCCTCCTGCTGCAGTGCCTCAGCCTTGCCAGCTGCTGCTTGGGCAGCTAAGCGACTTTCCAGGACACTGCGCGGACCCAGGACGCAGGCAGTGACTCTGTGCACCCTACCTGCGTGGCCTGTGGTCAACACAAGCGAGGTCTGCCTCCTTGGACCAGACTGTGGGGAGGGGGCTGGTCTCCTAGGCCCTGTCAGGACGGATGGCACTTTGCCATGCTGACTCACTCTCCAGGCCAGGACTGCAATCCGAGAAGCGCAACTGCAGACCCCTCTCCAGGGGATGGGAAGGCTAGTTTCTATGCCAGCCCGCCGCTGTCCCAACAATTTCACCCAGACTAACAGTTTCAGTTGTGTATACCATGATGTGCTGTAACACAGCAGTACGCCATAGTGCCTTGGCACTGGCTATTACGTGGTGCACAAGGGAGCGCGCACATTCCTTCTACAGAGAGAGAAATAAACAACCAGGTATCGCCCCCAACACCCTCGGGGTGGCGGCAAAGGTGGGCAAGAAGTTCACCGAGAAAACCAGAATCTGGAGAGGCCACAGTGGTTGCGGCAAGGGAGACCGTCTGGGCAGACGCAAGAATGCAATTATTCTTTTTAAAAATGTTACGAAAATATAGCACAAGTGTACTGTTTTTAAGGCGATTGACTAAAGGTGTGAACACATGTAATTTCACTGTTTTCCTGCATTAGTTTTTTTCCCCGCAAACAAAAATCAGGAAAAAGAAGCATTTGTCAGCTCAGGCACGTAGATTCGCGGTTGGGGTAACAGGGCCGGTGAGCCCGGAGGTCGGGGCCCGCCCGCGTCTCCACGCAGCTCTGTGCGCCCCCGGGGCCGAGGCACCACGGCGACGGGCACGGGGCCAGCGCGTCTCCACAACAAGCGTGTCCGCGGGCAGGCCCCCTCCCTCCT